GAATAAGCAACAAGTAATTCTAGCTGGCTGGCTGGCAATAAACCAACCAAGAAGCTGTCGCTCAACAAATATGCAGAAAAACTGGAAATGGATCGGCTATTCATTGAGAATACCATTCGGGGACATCACGCAGCAGGCACTCGAGTGAAACCCAGATGGGATACGATGAGTTTGGCATCCCAACTGAGGGTGAGATGGTGTGAGGAAGAAATGAGAGCTTGTGTGAAGTGGTGGAGCAAGTTTAAGAAAACTGCAGAGAACAGAGTGGATTGACAATGTTTTACTGAAGCCCTATGTTCCACTAGGAACGCAACGGACAAATAATAATAATAATAGGTATGCAAATCCGTGTGCATTCTCAATGCAGTTGCTATGAATTGCTGTATGAAAATGCCTAACAGACTGATAAATAATAAAGGTTACTAGTAATTAATATATTTCCATATTTGTCTTTATTTTTAGATATATCCCACTTCAGTGTTTGTAAAAGCCATCTGTTCTATCGAATACATTGGTTAGAACACTTTTGATGTAAATGCTGTTTCAAGTGTAGTACACTTTCTTCTTCTTCATAGTAATCACCTATTAGATAGATTATCAATTATTTATGGTGTGTGTTGCCAGAATTCAATAGATTCTAGTCTGCATAATTTATCTCCTTTTAATTCCTAAATTTCTAGTAAAGTTAACACAATCTTAAACTAAATAAACTCCAATCATCAATAATTTAGGATTTAAAAGCTATAAAATTCTGTACATTAGGATTAGGGGCTTTTTCTTACAAACAATTAACTTCATGTCATTGTTAGAAACACCTTTAAGTTTATAACATTGCTCAATTATTAAATAAAGTAACTGTGTAACCAAGGTGATTATATGAATGAATGTACCTTCATCATTTTTATAAAGAATTTCTATTTGACCTCATTTACCTTATAAATTGTTTGTGGTTATTTTGAGCCGTTTCTTTCTGATGAGATATTAATAAATCTGAAGAGAAATAATTCATGATTATTAACAATTGTGATAATTTTGAGGGAGTTGTGGAGATTTGGAAATATTTAAAGCTGTTATTCATCGTAGACTGATATCAGTTGGAGGAAGAAAGGAGACGTGGGAGTACTGGACAGCTGTTTTGTGCTAGTGCTCGACGTCTCAGCAGTGCGCACCCATGACCCCGCCTCGAATCGAACCTGCAAACCTCAGGTCCCACGGCTAGCTCCTTATAACTGAGCCACTGAGTCAGAATCCAATGCTCCATATTTTCAACTTCTGTTAGCTCGTGAGTACAGTTACTCAACGATGACATTGGGTGGCGGTTGTGCTATATCGTGAGCTAACAGAAGTTGGAAATACGGAACATTGAATTCTGACCCAGTGGCTCAGTGGTAACGCGCTGGCTGCGAGACCTGAGGGTTGCGGGTACGATCCTCGCCGCAGTCATGAGTGCGCACTGCTGACAGATCCCGCACTAGGACGAAACAGCTGTCCAGTACTCCCACGTTTCCTTTCTCCCTCCAACTGATATCAGTTTACGATGAATAACAACTTGGAACTATTTAATAAATTGATTTTCGAAGTAACAGTAGACATATAATAAGCACACAACCATTGAAATATGGATGTTGTATGCTGTCATGCATATGTACTGGTGTAGAATTCCTTACTCAAATGAAACATCTATCCCGTTCGCCATTGATTTTCAATGATTCCCGCAAACACTGATAACAGTACTCCTCACTGAAGGTTACTCTAATATCATTGATGAGGTTGTTATAAAGTCTCTCAAAAATCATAGAATTCAAGCTGAATACAATGATGGTGACCACTTGTATCCATTCCTCTTGAATACACAATGGAATCGTATGAATATGAAAAAAGGAAAATTAATCCTCTGTATATTCCTTTTATAAAACGGTAGACTGATAACAACTTGACGTTTGTTTAATAGTCATGCTGAAATTGTAGAGTCAACATGAAATTTAATAAAAATTAGGAAATGTCGACTGAATTACTATTAGCAATATTCTTCTTTTGTAAAGCTTCATGCAACAAGCTAAACTTATGCATGATAATCTATGAAAACATTATTGAATAAAACCAATGATTATGTCAGAAAAATAGCATCTATGCTTCAAGGTGGAATGATTTCAAGGCATTCTGGTTATTAGAAATCATTCAAATGTGATAGATATTACTGGTTTGTGTAAAACATGAAAGTGGTTATTCCGCTAACTGAGGCTGAATACAAATATACACAGATTGGTCAGTGGAGAGTAACCAACTGCATATTGTAGAGTCCCAAGTACTGGTCGATTTCTGTCGATCGTGCATCCATCCATCTAACTAACATTGGTCAAAGTGCATTGTGATATTGAGTCAACTAGTCTGGTGACCGCATTGCAAAACAACCGATTGATTACTCTCCAGTAACCAATTTAATCCTACAGGAAGCTGGCCACTGAGGTGGACTTCCATTATGTCCGTTGGTTGGCAATGCTGAGCAGGAAACGCTGGACCTAAGTGCTTGTTGCCACTTGTTGACAGGGTGCATCTGCAGCCTCGAAGGAATTGATGTCCCCGTTGACAGTGACACTGGGTAATACAAGTTCCAATCTCAGGAGCAGCATCAGTCCCTTTAAAGTCATCAACAAACACAAAACTTAGGTCCACGGGTTCCTGCAAATTCCCTCCGACCAACTAACATCGAACAAATGTCAAAATTCAGTCCAACTAGATACAAGTTAGTAAGAGGTGAATGTGAACATTCTAGAAAATGTGGGGAAATTTCTACATTTTAAGAGGTGCTTACTCAGTCATATGAAGAGATATTCATCCAAAGGTGATAAAATGAGTAAAGTGAGCGAACATTCATCAAAAAATAATCTTACTAATCATAAACAATAACTTGAGATTGAAGAGGATTAGAAAAGAACCGAAATATTGTTTCAAATAGGTGGTGACTGTTTTTGAAGAAAAAAGTCATTCAGTATCAAGCTAACGAGAGATTCACCACCAAATTTTCAACACATAAATTAGGTCTCATTTGCTCGATTGTTATGCATTTAGCTGAACTCAGTGTACATGATTTCTCCTTCCTGATATGTTATTTACACATCCTATTCATCATTATATCATGCGTTATCAGCTCCATTAGAAGACTCATGACCCTTAGAGTTAAAACTTCTTTCTATATTCTCTACAACCCAGCCTGATAATCATCTTTCTCTTTGTCTAACCTACCGACTCCTGCATGTACAACCAAATTTAAAAACACACTTACACATACAAAGAGTTGATATCTCATCAACCTTTCCCTGCCTATCATTTACAATGTTGTTCGACAGACTGGAACTAATTTTGCAGCTGGTTAGAGGATTAAAATAGAAATTCGCATTCATCTGTTTATTCTCTCCACTGGATCACTAACCTTAAAACTTAGTCTCAAGAAAACTGACTTGTTTCATAGTCGATTCTTTTTCCGATTTCCTTCTTTTGTTTTTGCAGTTTTCGAATAAATTTCACAAAATGACCATCTTCAAGTAAACACCACTCAGTAAGCTGAGTACGTTCTACTAGGATCTTGTTAATTAGGTGTGTGTTTTCCCTCATCAGTATTATGTTCTCAATAACTCCCTGTTGTAGCTAATTGAGAAAAAAGCTATCGGAGTTTAGATACTAATCAAACCAAATGGGCTTCTAGTAAAATATTCCTCATGTGGGGCCTCATTCTGCCTCTTTAGCATCATTCGGGAAAATACCACAAGATCTTAAATGTGTGTCTATATTCGTATATCGATTGTGTTTTCTTAAGGTTTCATGTAGTTAATGAAGATCCCATGGATGGAAGGTACCCTAACCACATATTTCTATTGTATAATAGCTAAACTTATACAAGGAATGTACTTGAAATAATAAATGGAAATATACAAGAATACCAACCAACCAACCGTGAAGAATCAGGTCAGCAAATCATTTTAACTTTTTCAATAATCCTTCACTAAATCAAGTGGTCACAGGTTTATACACAGGATGAAAATTCATCTTCTCTAAGCACTTGTAGCATATAGATTTTTGAGTTTGGTGAGATTTCAGCCAGAATGTTATTTCTTAAAACTGTGAAATCACTATTACGTTTTTGTTGAAAAAGATAGGGGAAATATTCGTCTTTTATCAACAAACTATTGAATAATTTAATAAGGTTATCTATCCACCATTAGGTTTCTTCTACTTAAAGATTATCTTCAGGTTATGTAATATGCAGATATGAGATGGAATCTTCAATCATCTTCAACAGGATTGTTTCAAGAATAACAAAAGGGATTGTGTTCTACACAGTCTGCAATAAATGAGTCACACACGAAGATACTGGGTGGTTGTAATGGATGATGAAATGATTTTGAGATATCCAATCCGAATGTCATCAGTGATATTATCACTGGTGTCCATGGAAAAATATATCAAGTGAGTTGTTTTTTGAAAATATTCAGATAGATTGGTGTCCAGGATGATTACGATTTTCAGCTATTGGCTACACTAAATACTTCCCAGTTGGATTTAACATTATTATTGTTGTTGAGAAACTGGTCGAAGTATTCAATCAACCCGTTCCAATATCAGATGATATGAGTTATGCAATGAATGACATATAAAAGTATAACATGTAAATTCCTCATGCTATATAATAAGAGACAGCTTACTGAATAAAATTCTCAGTATTATTACACATCATCAACATTGACTTGGTTTATTGCCTTTTCATGTATATTTTGTTTATCCTGTCCTGGCTTCAACGTCCTTTAGCAATGTAGCGAGTTCTGTTCTCAATGTTCTGTTGATGAATCCTTTAACTTTACCTTATTTCATTCAAGAAGAAATACCAACAATAGATTATTATGATGTAAGTATTGCCTCAGCCTCAGCCTATCTTTTCACTGAAATAACTCAGAAAATAATCACCCTGAAGATTTATTCAAGTATCCTTTTTCCGAATTGCTATAACTCTTGTTACTATGTAGTATATGATTGTCAGGTAACTTGATGATTTCTAGGAATTGATAAGAAGCGGTCAAGTCTAGTCGTTTAGTTATATTCCATACCAACTGTTGATGAATTCATCCAGCCACTGTCGTCATCCAAACAGTTACTAGACGGGAAGTTATAGTTCAGCAATGGAGTTGTTGACTTCTTCACTAAGTGACACAGATCAATTTCTTCAAGATTCCAAGTACAAATTGTAGATGAAGACTGTTGAACAAAAGAATTGAAATCTAATTCATTATGGTTAACTACTTCTTCAAATTGAATTTGAAGTATAACCGTCAAAAGTATCATTCAACTTAAAATAGTTGACTTATTCAATAGACTTTGGACAATAATTATACTATAAGAAATATACTGATGATCAGTGCAAATAAATATACAGATACAGTTTGTTGTCAACAGTATATTGGCAAGATTTAACACAAAATGGTACTTCATTATATTCTGAACAATTTATGATGCCATACGAAATCATTATACTCTTCTTTTTTTGTTGTTGATCGGATCATATATACAATACTAATAAACTATTTGAAATGATCATATAGCTTTTATGCATTAACTAAGTATTTATCTAGATGTTACCTAGACAACAATTATGATAAATGAACATATATCGACTAGTCATGAAATAAATATAGGCAAATACACTTATGGAATAATATCATTATTCCTTTATTAATTAATTTTTTGTATTACATGTAATTAGCCATTTCCGGGATCACTTTGAAAAAAAAGCAAATTATAATTTTTATTTCATCAACTGTTATACATATACATGTATATGTATATGTATATGTGTATATCTATCTAGATGAAGGATTAGCGCCAAATTTACAAATCAACTTTAGTGAGATTGGGTATCATATTGATGAATTTAATGAATAAAATTACATAGTGTATAAATTCTTTCTTCAACTCAGAGTATGAATGTAAAAGTCGTGACTACTGAAATTACTTGAATTATCAAGGTCTATACTTGGTTGGTACACAAGGTTGAATTTGTAAACATATGTATGAAGAAGATCACGAGTGTATTATTATTATTATAGTATTATTTGTCCCTTGGTTCCTAATAGAACATAGGGCTTCAGTAGCGCATCTCCAATACATTCTGTTCTCTGCAAACTTTTGAACCTGGTTCCACTACTGCCCACAACCTCTCATTTCCTCCTCACACCATCTCCTCCATGTCACACTCACCTCGGACGCCCAACTCGTCGCTTCGTATCGGGGTTCCACTCGAGTGACTGGCCTGACGCTTGATGTCCCCTGTCGGCCTTCTCACTGTAAGCCCAATCCATCTCCAATTCCTTCCAGTACATATTTCTTGGACGATAGGTTCCTGGTTAGTTTGTTGTCCGGTCAGAGTTCCTTGTTGCTTATTCTTATTATTCTGGCAATCAATCTGATCTTCAGTAACGAGCCAGAGTAGGTGGCAGTTGTTGATGAATGTCTGCAGTTCTTTCTTGGAAATGCCTCTCGTAACGCACCAAGTCTCTGAACCATATAGAAGCACTGACTTGACTGAATAGGTGTTGAAAATCTGGATGTTGTTCACGCTTTATGTTGAGCGGAGATCTCCACACTGGTTTCAGGCTAATGAACGCCTGTCCTGCTTTTCTGATCCTGGCTTTCACGTCCTCTTATGTGCTGCCACCGCCTGTACTTGAAACGATGCTGCCTCGCCTACATAGGTGAAGCAAGCTACTATCTTTAAGTTTCTCCTATTTATGCTGATTGGAGCTTGTTGTTGTTGTTGATGGTGGTGGTGTTGGTTGGCTATCTTCATCACCTCTCTCTTCTCTACGTTCACCAGTGTACTAGAAATAAATTTACTATGCATTTTGAAGTGGGTCAACAACTTATTCGTATCTTATGAAACTTAGTATTTTTCATAAATCTTTTAATTACCATTGTTTATTTGATGGAGTGAAGTTTTGTATACTAATGATAAACTTTATGCGTAAATATTTCGATGTGTAAAGATCGAGAAACGTTGATAGACAGTTCAGTCTAAGGAGTCCAGTATTTGTTTATGTCTGACATTGATAAACCAAGTCTGTTAGAAGACTGAAATATCCTTCAATTGTAATTTCCTTCATGTCAGGTATATCCAGATAGTTTATTCCTAATACTCTTCATCATTGACATTCACTCTGAAGATAGTAACCTTGGAAAGTTGTACTTCTTCCCTATAAAAATAAAAGTCTTCGTCTTTCCACTCTACATTCAAATACATTCTAGTCATAAGTAAATCAACAATTTAACTCTTTTCATGTGTATTTTCAAGGCTGAGTATAAAAATAGCAGTGACAAGTCATTCACTTATCTATATTTCAAAACATTTTTACAAACTATCAATATTCGGTTACTTTTAAATATGCCATACAGTTTATGACCGTGTCAATCTTATTGATTTTAGAGAAAGTAAGGCTATCTATCTATCCTATTTGACAGAACTCTTGTCATGCATTCATAAGTATAGTAACGTTTATCACTGACATGTGCATGGTAATACGATAGGACTGAAACTTTCTTTGATTGGTAATAAATCCTCATTTGGTTTATCAAGTTTGATGAGTGCGATAGAACAGTACTTCGGAGAATCAATAAAGAGTAATGTTTTCTTTGAGTTCAGCTTGTGTTGACTCAGGTCTACTAAATGATCATAGGTAGACCAACAATATATCCTACATAAGCATAAAGGATACATTAGTAATATTGAAAGAATAAACAGTGAATAAAAGTTTGAGTATTGAACATCACATACAGTTAATAATACTAAAGCTTGATTGCCAAGTTATCCACAGGTTTCAAGTCTATAATCTTCAAGGTCAACGATGAGTTCATTCAAGGTCAAGACAACTATTCTACAATTAATCACCATCATTACTACTCAACATGATGGGAATTAATAAATATAAACTGAAACTATTTTCAAACAGATTTTCAATTATAAAGCAATATGAAAATGTTTTTTAACCTAACACACTTTTTAATTACTTTTTATTTCTTCTTTCAGTTATTCAAGCAAATAGCTGACAAGCCTCTTGAATAAAACTAACTACAAAGAAAGGAATCACAACACTCAATTCACATACACAAATGTATCATTTACTCCACACAGTAAAGTATTATCGTCTACAGACTAGTTATTCTAACTTTGCATTATACTCAATTGAAAAGAGAGTTAATTAACTGTCTTTGTAGCGAGCGCATTTTAATATATTGATCATTGAAATTCACTCAATCAAAGTGACACTTTCTTTATTCAATCCAAAGAAAATATTAATTCCATATTACAAAGTTCAGTAGTGATTGACTGGCAAATTATTCTGTTTTTATTTCTCTTCAGTTTACTTGCAACATGTAAATTCTCTTCAAATAGATCAAACATTTACAAAAATGAAAAACTTGACTAGATGAACTGTGTGTGTGACCTAGTTAATCACTTTTACACTAATGCACCAATCCAATATTTACATCGATTCATCTATCTGACTATGAAACTGTCTGTTATTCAATCATTCAACAAGACTGACTAATTAATATGTTCTAGTCTATTCACTTTGAAATGCAATATCTTTGTTTTTATCTTAACCAGGGTAAGTAAGACATAATTGTATAGGTTATTGTTTGAAGGAAGTGGAACTGCAAACATTTGATGGTAACTATGGTTGACATTATGTGTTGTAATATAAATATCCCACTGATGAAATACATTTTATCCTGATACTACTACTTCATAAAGATGCTAAGCATCTGTATAGTTGAAGTATTACAGACATCATGTGTTACTCAAGTTTCTTTCAAGTACACATGGTTATTTGTTGGCAGGTGTATGTCTTCAGTCTGATTTGACTCTCTTCACAGTTTATCTGTTCAAATCAATCAGTGCTGTTCTCACTTGATATGAAAAGAGTTATGTAAGAGGAGGTGTTTGGTGATGCGTATTTTCAAACGTGATTTCGATGTGAGATATAGTTATAAAATTGGTAAACTCTATGCACTTGATGCATTGAGTCATCCTACTGCCTGTAGTACACTGAAATGTTTTCTTCACAATATAGACAAACATCATAACTGTTGAATGATAGAAGTGAATAAATGATGAAAGTTTGAAACAACATGATGCATGACATGTTGTTATTAGATCAAATGGAAGTTAGTTAACTAGAAAAACACCAGTAGGTGGTGAGACACTAAGTACTGTTAGTACTGTTCACATGCAGTAATCAGATTTTTACATTTCAAAGTCTGCTTTTAAATAAATTATTCTCTGTGATGTTGACATTTCATTGAAATTGTATATACCAGTGTACCTGGAATCACTCCTACTGAGGAGATAATCACTTGAAGATAACTTAACGGTATTTAGCAAGGAGAGAGAATGATCTAATCGGAACTAACTTCAATGGGAAAAATATCCACTTGTGGCTGTTATACCAGCAAAATGATTTCACTAGTCACAATGAACTTCATTAGAAATGATTGTTTTTTATATATTAGTAGAAGAATAAATCTTATTGACTAAGAATACCTACCATCACTGCATAGTGTAGTCGTGCACTGTTAAAAAGGTAGTAATTGATGAGACACACACACACTAGTCAAAGGGCTTCTTCACTTAGACAAAATGAAGACCGGTTGAAGAAGACGCAGATCTCAGCTGCCTTTCAAGGGGGTTACGGTTGACACATATGTGCTTAGAAATCGAGGTCATCGATGGACACATAAAGAGATAGTATAACTTGAAAGTGTCCTAAACAACTGAAGAGAAAGAAGTAAGAGGATAAGGTGAAGTCATCCAATATTCGTGGTGATAAAAACTTGACAAAATCTACTCCATGGTAGCATAAATATGCCAATCTTATTTGAAGTAAGCGAAAATATACTTTACTTTATACATTTCATAAAGGCTGGAGAATTCGCTTAACTTCTGATGCTAATCAGTTTCTTTGCACTAAGATGAAATTTAAGCTGACAGGATACTCTTGTGAATTACTTTGGAAAAGCAGAATCCTCACACACGCATACAACTGTAATTTGTCTTGTTTCTAGTGAAAAGAAATGAGAATAATTCATCTTTGAGATGATTAGTAGACAGCTTTGAAGTTCCTTCCTATTGAGGAGAAGATGATTTCTTAGATAAATTATCTTTGATATTCAGAGGACTAAGAATTGTGAAAGAACAATCTGATGTCCTTTTTCATCTTGTTCAAATGAATATGTAAGGGAGAGTTTCTAGCTGAGGTTAATATGAGAATTACGCTAACATGGTGTTCAACACACTGATGCACATATGTTGGTCAAATCTGATTCAGCAATATTTTCTATCAACCAGCTTCATAAAGGAATTAATCTGTTCAACTGATGAAACTGTAACTGTGTCAATACACCTCACTGGATTGTCTAACTGAAATAAAATACCAACTATATCATGAATA